TGGAAATGACCTTAGGAGCTGTCAAGTACAATTCCCTTATTTTACAGATGAGGAAACTAAAGCCCAGACTCACCAGGGTCACACAGATAACAAGTGTCTCAAACTGTGTTTGAACCCAAGTCTTCCTGCTCCAAGTGCAGTCCTTTATCCATTAAACACCACATTGTGTTAAATGAGCTGCCCAAAGGCACACAACTAATATTTCAAGAAATGTGATGCAAACTCCAGTCTTTTCTCATTCTGTTTGATTTTTCTTCAGAATAATAATTTTACAAAATGCACTCTACAACCAAAAGTAAAAATATTCAGATGGTCACATGTCAGGTTGTTGAAGAAGAGATTTCTGGCCTGGTACAGTTTAAGCTAGATGGCCTCTAGTCCCCTGCAATTCTAAATTGGGGGTTATTGGATTGGGGATTGGGGATTGGAACTGGGGAATTGGAAGCTACAGAAGACATTTGATAAAGCCTGTATACATTGAGAGATTTCAGAACAAAGATCTAACTTAATTTGACTGACAGTTAAGTTTTCAACTTGCCCTTGGCTGTCACAGACTGACTGAGGTTAGGCAAATTATTCAAATGCTCTGTGAGTCAGATTCCCATCTGCCAAATGGGTTCAAGTCTCTGATGAAGAACTGGGGCTGGGGGAAGGATTGATGATTAGAATGAACTTCAGTGAAATACTCTGAGTACTTTAGAAAAGGCTCCAGGTAAATGGTATTTAAATCAATGATGTTACAGAAGATGAGTTTCAAGTGTTACTGCTTGTTAGGGATTGAGGCTAGCCCAGGAGAGAGAATTCTAAGCACTCAAATGTTTTACAAGAAATGAAATCATAATGTAGAAAAGCCCAATTCAATTTCTCCCAAAATGAGCAAAGAGATGATAACTCTAATCCTGTTTAAAGTGAGGGAGTATGCTGTTGTCAGCTGAAATGAGACTGCATTGGAGCAAGAATTTTAAAATGAGCCTATTTGATAATCAAAGTATTTGCAGACCCTGTTTCACAGACTGGAAATTGACAGAAAACACGGATTGGATTGTCAGAAGCCTCAGCGTTCAAATCTCAAAGGATTAGACATATTGGCTGCTCCAATCTCCTCTTCTGTCTAGATTCTGTTTGTCCAGGATGTTAATTTGTCTGTCAGGGATGGAGAGAGTTACCCCAGCTCAGGGAATAATGTTTGAACTTATATTTCCCCTCTTCCCCCAAACAAGAATATTAAATTTTGGATGAGTGGTCAGAGCACATTACAGGTCTTATATTCAGTCCTGAACTCACATTTTAGATAGGTCATTGATAAGCTAGAGTGTATCCAGAAGAGGGTAAACAAGATGGTGATGGGACTGGATTCCATGCCTTATGAGGCTCAGTTAAAGGAACTGGGGATATTTGGTCCAGTGGAAGGAAGACTCACAGGGGACGTGATAACCATCTTCAAGCATTTGAAAGACTGTCACTTGGAAGAGGGATTAAACCTGTTTGCTTGACTCCCCTTCAGTACTAGTCGAACTAGACTTACAGCTGTTACCCATGTGATTTCACATCTCTTTCCGGGACTTGGTACAGGCTGTTTTACCACATCTAGGATGTGTTCCCTACTCACTACCACCTCTGAGAAACATGTTTCTTTTAATGCAGAACTCGGAGAAAATGACTTCTTTATGCAGAGACCTTTCCTGATCCCTACTTTCTTCCCCAAGGTGTTTGTACTTTCTGCCTATCTAAATTATTCAGTATTACTTTGTATACTTGTGTATGAGTGGAATATAAGTAGGGCTAGGACTGTTTCATTTTTCACTTTTTCCCTAAGACGTATTTCAGTGCCTTACACATAGAAGGGATTTTTCAGTTGAAATGAACTCAAGAAGACAGAACTGCTATCCTAGATGTTGTTGTTGTTGTTGTTTGCCCTTTGTTCTCGAAGAGGACCAGTGACATAAACTGGAAGGGACCTTAGAGGTCATCTTGTCTGATCTCCTCATTTCATGAAGGAAAAAGGACTTCATACAGAGAGCAAGAGGCAGAGCTGGGATTTGAACCCAGGGCCTCTGACTCCAGATCTAGTAGTCTTTCTACCGTAACTTACATTGGATGGAAAATGTCAAGAAAAGGATTTAGTCTGGGTTTGATGAAAACATCTTCCTAACTGAGCTATCCAAAGGTGAGTAAGCTACCTTGAAAGATAGTGAGATTGCCGTTACTAGGAGTATTCAAGCTGAGGCCTACTGACCATTTCATAGAATGTAGAGGACAATCCTATTCAGTTCCATGTTGGACAAGATGACCTTGGATATCCTCTCTACGTAAGAATTTCTGTGGTTCTGCAAAACCAACATGGAGTAAAGGCTTCTGGTTAGAAAGCATGGGGAAAGGTTAGAGACTTGTTTGGATTCTCTTATCCTACCTGGCTCTATCACACAGTAAAAGTGACAGCAGGCGCTGCCTTTCTGACCCTCACCAACCCCTCTTCTAAGGAACAAATAGTCAGTGAATTCGTTTTTTCCATTTTAGGGCAATATTGCAAAGTCTAATCCCTTAGCTCCATTTTCTTCCTCTTCACTACTTAACAAAGCTGGTTGACTGGCAAGCAGTTCTTGAAGATTAAGGCAGCTCGCAATCCCTCTACCCCGATGTCTTATGTGTTTCCTTGGCAGAGAGAGGCAGGAAGAATGGTTGAGACACTGATAAAATATGTAGGCAGGAGGGAATGATATCAGCTCAAACAAGGGAAGATCTCCCTGTTTCAGCTTGCCATTAGCAAGGTGAAATGTCTGAAACAAGTGTTGAGAAAGGGCATATAGTATTAACCTTAGGACCAAAGGAGTGTCATCTCCTGGAAAAGAGCTCATGAGCATAAATCTGTATAGACTGAGGAGCCTAAAGATGCTTAGCATCAACTACTGTTGAATCTGAGTTCCTCTCTACCCTGAAACCCACCCTCCCCCAAAAAAGAATCACCTTAAGTAGCATGGTGAGTATCACTAGGAATTACTTAATTTACTTTTAACTCAGTACTAGTCCAGTTGCCCCTGTTTATGGTGTGATTTGAGGTGAGGATATATGTTTTGCATGTCCCCTAAATGTCACCCCACTGGTTTGCCCTGGTAATAAAATCCCCGAAGTAAGAATTCTAATTTCAATAACTCTGAACATAGAGTCAAAAAGCCTGGGTTGAATCCAAGTTTTGTTCTTTCTTAGCTGTGTGATCAGAGGGAGGGAGGGAGGCAGGCAGCAAGGAACGAAGGAAGGATGGAAGGAGGGAGGGAGGGAAACAAGCACTTATTAAGCACCTACTATGTGTCAGGCTCTGTGCTAAAGTACAAATATTATCTCTTGATCCTCAAAACAATCCTGGGAGGTAAATGTTATTATTATCTCCATTTTACAGACAAGGAACCTCAGGAAGGCAGAGGTTAAATGACTTGGCTACAATCTCACAGTGTCTGAGGCAGGATTTGAATTCAGGACTTCCTGACTCTAGGTCCAGCACTCTATCCATTGCACTGCCTCAGTTGACTTCTCCGAGCCTCAAATACCTCACTGAAAAATAGAGATAATAAAAGTTTTACTATCTTTATTACAGGGTTGTTATAATTATGGCATTTTATAAATGGTTACAAGCTGTATATCAATCTGTACCTATATCCATCTATCTATGTATCTATCTGTCTGTCTGTCTGTCTGTCTATCTGTACTGTAATTATTCCTCAGGTTTGAGGCATTATCTCCAGAAGGTCATTGTTAAAATGCATAAAGTCACAAAATTTATTAAATATAGTATAAGTATAGACTATATGTTAGGCACCAAGTCAGTCACTCAGTTAAACATCTATTAAGTGTCTACTCTGTGCCAGGCGCTGTACTAAATGCTCAGGATATAAAGGGGCAAAAGATAGTCCCTGTTCTTACGGAGCTCACCCTGCAAACAATTCTGTACAAACAAGTTTTGTACAGGGAAAGTTGGAAGTAATTAACAGAAGGAAGGCACTAGAATTAAGAGGAATTTGGAAAAGCCTCTTGTAGAGGTGGGATTTTAGCTGAGATTTGAAGGAAGCCAAGAGACAGAGACCATTCCAGGAATGGGGGACAGCCAGTGAAAATATTCAATTGGGCGATGGAGTATCTTACATGAGGAGTAACAAGGAAGTCAGTGTCACTGGATTACAGAGTATTTAGTGTGGTATAAGATGTCTGGATAGGTAGAAGGGCAAGTTATAAGGGCTTTGAATGTCAAACAGAGGATTTTGTATTTCATCTTTCAGTGATAGGGAGCCATTGAAGTTTATTGAGCAGTGAGGTGAGGTGGTCAGACCTACACTTTGGGGAGATCACTTTGACAGCTGAACTGGGGAGAGACTTGAGGCAGAGAGGCCAACCAGAAGACCACTGCAGTAGTCTAGGCATGAGATGATGAAAGCCTGCACCAGATTGGGAAAGGTGTAGGCAAAAGATGTTACAGAGGTAAATCAAAAGGTCTTTACAACAAATTGGATATGGGGTGGGGGGATGGTGAAAGGGAGTGAGGAGTCAAGGATGAAAAGTTTTTTTAGATCCTGAGTCTCATTTATTTATCTGTAAAATGAGGAGGAGGGATGGTGGCAGGAGATTGTTTCCTTCCAGCTGTAACATTCTGTATAACTCGATGACTTACTGTAGTGAAGGGGGAGAGAAGGGAATAAGCATCTAAAGTAGTGTTTGCTATATTCTAGGCACTATACTAAGCACTTCTACCAGTATCTCATGCTATCATCACAACAGCCTTATTAGCCAGGTACTTCTGTTCCTATTTTACATTTGAGGAAACTGAGGTAACCAGGGGTTAAGTGACTTGCCCAAGGTCACACAGCTAGGATATGTCTGAGGCTAGATTTGAACTCAGGGCTTCAGAGAAACTTTATGCATTGAGGACTGCTACATCATTATGTCAGCATGGCTGGCTAGGAGTTGAAAATGCTGTTTTAACTAATTCTTTGTCTAATGGTCTGTGGTTTCAGGTTTCGAGTGCAACTTTGATTTTCCCTGTGAGCTGGAGTATTCACCACCGCTGCAGGAAGACAGAAACCACTACTGGTCTTGGCGCCACATCACTTCTGAGGAGGCTTCCCAAATGAACCTGTTCAGTGGTGGCCCTGTGCTGATTCATTCTGAGGAGATGCCCAAAGGTAAAGAATGGTTAGAGGTCTTCTGGGGACAGAAGGTAGCTCTGGGGCATGCAAAAAGAAACAAGGAAAATGTCTGTTTATTGGAATTTGGTCTTTCTAACAACTGAAGGAAATGGAAGGGAATCACTCGTCAATGGGAAAAGAAATATGGAGTAATGGTAAAAGAAATAACCTACCTCTACAATTAGCAATGCAGATAAAGGTTTTCCCTTCCCTTCCTTGCCTCTTAGGAGTCTCTGGCTTTTATTTTCTTCCCCTTTGGTTTGAAATCAGCTCTAGGAGTTACATATAACAGAGGAAGAGAAGGGGGAAGGAGTAGGGAAAGCTGGCTTACCTAGGAGAAGAGTGGTGGCCTTCACAGGCTGTGAAAACTCTGTGTTTGAATGCCAGAGCATCTGTGGGTCAGCATGGCACTTGATGATTCCTACAGCTGATGCTGAGCCAGATTCAGGATGGCATGGATGGATCAGGAGGAAAGAAACGTTAGGAAAATGGTGTCTTGGCAACCTCCACATATGCATAGACACAGGCACTGGTGATTCCATCCCTGAGACCTGTGTGCCCATGCTCATCCACTCTCCCTTGCCAGCCACTGGCTGCAGCTGCTTTGTTTCTGCCCCTTGGAGGTGATCACCATCATACCTGCCACATCTGTTATGCAGCCCTACCAAAGAGGTCCTTATTGTTTTGAGGGTATATGATGCCTATTGTTATCAAAAGAGATGACACATGTAAAATGTTTTGCAAACCTTGAAAGTATTGTATAGATGCTAGCTGTTATTGTTGTGTTACTATTAGGGAATAGGGCATAGCATAAAAAAATAATCAAAGGAAATTAAGAGTCAGCCTTTGATTATGCATAAATTATCATTCACCCCCTGGATCCCCTCTCACACAATTATAAACCCAAACCACCTTCCCTCTCCCTTCTCTCCCAACACTCCATTCAAGACCTTCTGAAATGACTCCTGTTGGGTCATTCAGTGTGTGAAAAAAGTAAAGCAGTTTCTCTCTTCATTAGCTGTCGCCAAATATAATTAGGAATTATTGCAAAATGGCACACCTGTTGACTCTTTCCTGCTTTGAAGGATCTAAGGCATCACTCCACTGGGTTATTATAGACACTCAGGAGTGGACAGGGCTCTGTGCTGACTAACCCTTCATTTATATATCTGCCTCGGGAATCTACCCCTCTGCGATCAATGGCATAGTTGAGTCTCAGAACATGGTCTCTTCTAGCTCTAAATCTTTTAACCTATGGTCTGGGTTGTGCTGTGGTCCTGTATCAGCTCTAGGGATGAAGATGAGGATGTGAAAGAATGGGAGGAGCAGAGCATCATCTAGGGAATGCCCCTCCATGGGATTGGGATTCATTGTGACAACAGGAGGCTGGTCCATGGTAGGCTTATGTGCCAAATTACCTTTCCTGAGCCCCCGGTTTATAGTGCAGGTCTGACCTCAAGGCATTGTGCCACTGTTTCATATGTCACTGGGGCATCTGTGTGGCCACTTGAGAAGTACTGTGGTCTGATCTACAGTGGAGATGGCCTTTCCCCTAAAGTCTCATTAGCTCATAGGAACTAGAGTTAGAAGATGTCTTAGAGATCCTCTATTTTTCATTAGGAGAAAACTTGCACAAATTTAGGGCTAAAATATGCTTGAAAATGATGACAAATGTCCCAGTGTGGCATGTATAACAGAATCACTCAAAGAAAGAAGTACCTATGTGGATTTAAATAATCTGGAAGGTTTAATAAAAAGAGGATTTTGTTGAGGTTAAATTCGATGCACTAAGCATTTAATAAGTGCTCATTATAGTAGGGACTGTGCTAGATTCTGGGGGATGTGTAAAGGCAGAAGTGATTTCATTCTAGCCCCCAAAGGGCTATACCTACAGTACATCATGGAAGGAGCCCTGAACTGGGAGTCAGGACACTGGGCTTCTAGCCCCAGCTCCGCACTTCCCATATGTCTAATCCTGGGCAGTTCTCTTCAAGGACACATGGTCAGAAAGCCTAAAATCAAAGCCTGCCCCCAGCCATGTGATTTAACGTCTTTCTGCCTTAGTTTCCTCATCTGTAAAATGGGAGTGACAACCTGTCTTGCAGATTGTTATGATGATCAAATGAGATGAGAGATGTCTAGCACTTTGCAAAAGTGCACTATATGAATATTGGGTATTATTATGACGGTCACTTTCCTTATGTCTAAAATGAGGGGGTTAAACAATACGATTGATCAAGTCTCTTTCACCTCCAGAGCTCCATTATCCTGCAGAGTTAGGGGCCCTTTTGAGCTGGACTTTAAAGCATAGAGAGAATGTGAATCCAGAAGGGATGGAGAATAAGAATAAAAATAATAATAATAGCTAACATGCTATCATGTTATAAGATTTGCCACCTTATCTAGTAGAAATTCAACAATTAACAAGGGAGAAGGAAGTTCTAGGCATATGGAAGGATCTAATCAAAATCGAGGAGTACAGATCGAGTCCAGTTAGGATGGAGCAAAATGTATGTGTTGGGGGGAGGGGATAAGGAGAGCAAGGCTGGCTAATGTCTGATTGAGAAGGGAGTGCAATGCCAAGCAAAGAAATCTGTGTGAACTTTATTTGTTAAGTAGTAGAAAGCCACTGAAGACTTTTTAGCCAAAAAGTAATTAGCTACATTATGCAGAAGGAAGGCAAATTTGGTAGTGATATATGATGAATGAATTCAAGGAGGGAGCAAGTGAAAGGAGGGGTGTTTTATTTGTTAAGCACCTACTGTATCCCAGGCCTTATGCTAGTAGCTGTGGGAGTTATAAAGGTGTGTAAGACACTGTCCCTGTTCTCCAGAAGCTGATATGGCAGGGGAGATAAGACCTGTAGACAACCCCTAGCTCAATGTCTTGCACACAGTAGGCCCTTAATAAATGTTTGTTGAGTTCAGCTGAATGGCTGTAATACAAAGTAGGATGTGATAAGGGTTATAGGAGAGGCACTAAGTGCTATTGACTTCCTTTGGTTCTTTTCTGAACTTCAAACTGTTCTGGGCTGGAATTTGCCGAGAGAGCTACTCAGCAAAATGGAACATACTTATCCTGAGTGAGGAGGGAACAGAAGAAACCCGTTACCCCCAAGGAAGTTTCACCTAGTAGTCTGGTGTTCTGAGATATAAAACTAATTGCTCTTGAAGATAGATACTTTTGGAAACTGGAAAAACAAATCTGTCTATTACTAATCCTCTCCTTTATCCTTATTCCATTTTGAAATCCTGTACCCCTGCTAATCTAATCCTTGGCCCAGGACTCTGTTAGTTTCTCTTGTACTCCTGCTCAGGTTTATCTCCTACTTCATCTTAACCCATCTATTGTGGATTGAAAGGAAAGGAAGACTTTAAATTCCATTTCAAGACCAGTCTAACCTTGTTGCTACCTTATCAAGTGGTGCAAACGGGATTTGGGATTTGTCAGGCAAGTTCCCTCCCCCACCACCACCTCCCCAGAGCAGATCCATTGAGGGTGTGGGAGAACAGCTCTGATCAGTCTGCCTGAGGGCCTTCTCCAATTGCGCCTCTTGATATTGGTGTCACATGTTTGCTTTACATTTGCTTCTAGGAGCTGGGAGGATTTTACAAATGTACTTTCATTCATTCCCCATGGGTACCTTGTGGTAGTATGCTGGGTACCCACAAAGTGCTCAATAAATGTTAGTTGATTGACAGACCACTATTGGAAGCATTGTCTTGCTTTGATATCCCACAGAAACAGAGATCAGATCAGAACTCAGCTTCTCCATCTTTTCACAGACCTTTTTCTTGGACTGAGTGAGGGGAAAAAAAGTCCTGGCCCACAACTGAGGTTGGGTTTCTATTCTACAGAGGGAAATAATTGGGGACTTCTTGTTAGGGTAAACAGATGTTCCAATGTTTTCTTGGTGTTATTTTTTATGCAAAGTCTTTTCCTAGGATACAGAAAATTGGGACAATTGTCCCAAGGCCACAGGCTTTGAGGCCTCCTTGATTACAGTAGTGATTGGATTAGACAATAATATAGAGATGAAGCTGATGGGGATCTGGAGGGAGAGCAAGAGAGAAAGTAGCTCCTGATCTCTCTCTCTCTCTCACACACACACATAAGAATGCCACCTTTCTCCCCTATCCCACCTGCAAAGATAGGCAGGATGTAGCACACAATACGGCATGAAGAGCACACTAAGTTTAGTGATAGAAGACCTGAATTTGCTCCCAGATTTGCTTCTAACCTTCAGGGTGACCTTGGATAGATCACTTAATCTTTGGCTTTTTTTTGTGAATAGTATTTTATTTTTTTCCAATTACATGTAAAGATAGTTTTCAACATTCATTTCTTAATAAGATTTTGAGTTCCACATTTTTCTCCCTCCCTTCCTGTCCTCCCCCCTCCCTAAGACAGCAAGCAATCTGATATTGATTATACGTACAGATCACTTAATCTTCCAGGAACTCCGATTGTAAAATGAGGGTGTTTGACAAGGTCCCTTCTATAACTGAATCTATGATCTTGTGGTATTACAGCCGACCCTCCTACCCCCATTTTATTCTCATATTCTTCAGGCTAAATAACTGTAAGCCCCTATTTCTGTGTAGAAAACACTCTACCCACAACTATCCCATGAGGACAGTATTGCAGATATCATTCCCATTTTAGAGATGAAGAAAGTGATTCTCAGGGAGGATCCATGATTTGGTCAAGGACTCACAGTGAACCCTAGATCCAGAATTCAAATTCTAACCCCTGAGCTCTTTGAATCAACAAGCCCTATTCAGTCAATACCAATGGCTCTCTATTGCCCTCAGGGTCAAATATAAAATCCTCTGGCTTCAACTCTATCCCTTCCTTCCTTCCCCAGCCCCCATCTACCACCCCCTACATACCATGTATTCAATAACATTGGCCTCTTTACTGTTCCTCACACTGGGCTGTCCCTCATGCCTAGAATTTTCTCCCTGCTCACCTGGCTTCTTTGAAGTCCCATTTAA